TCTAGAAGACTTTGAGAGGGAGCTGACACTGATTCTAACCACTCCAACAGCAATCAAAATACCTGAAATCAAATCCTGAATCCATCATTCTAGAGTCCAGCCTTGGAAGACAAAAGGAAAATGAGGAAGAACCCAACAGAGAGATGCTTTTGGAAGCCCTTGCCAAGAAATTCCAATGGACTCTCATATGAACATTTGAAAATTGCTCTGTTCTGACGTTTTTCTAGTTCCCTGTCTAGAATTTGTAATGCTAATTACTCTTGCCTTTACTTCTCCTTCCCATCTCCTATTCACATTTCAAAGACTTTCTTTTCCTCCTTGAGATAAGAGTTATGCAATTTGGGAGTCTTTTAGATAGACCCACTGAAGGGGTACTCCAATTGCCTCACCCCGCGTCCCTGTTCAGCATGGGAGAAGCCAGAGTGGTCTGCGTCCCGATTCCCTATTGGCAATTTGGGTAACCTCTTCAGAGGATGGTGTGATAATAATAGGAAGTAGGCATTCACTAGGCAAAAATGTCGAAAATATTCGGGAGCTTGTATCTAATCCTTAAAAGATTTTAGGGTTACCTTTTCAGAGGGGGGAATGTTAGAGTAGCCAAAAGCCCCATAAAAATAAATAAATCAAAGAAGAAGAAAGAGTACATGAAGTTATCAGAAAACAAGTGACAGGGAGATATTGGAGGAGTTGGAGGGGAGGGAGTGGGCATGGATTTGATCAAAACACCTTATATGCATGAATGAAATTCTCAATAAATTATTTATTAAAAAAGAAAATGTCACTCTCACTAAGGTCTATAAAGCTATTCTTTGAACTGAAAAATTTGATGGAATATTTAAATTTTATTTAAGTTGTCTTTTTTATTGTTTAAGAATTTCATACATGCCTATAGTGTATTCTGATAAAATCTAGCTCCAATTTCCTCCACTACAATTCCTCTCCTATCCTCCCAACACTTCTCTCTCCCAACTTCTTGTACTCTGTTTTTTTCAGATCCACTGAATCTACTTAGTACCTTCTATATGTGCATGAGTTTAAGAACATCTACTGGAGTAGCCTCTTGTAGCCTTCATCTTTGAAGAAAACTGACTTTCCCTGCCTCAGAAATTATCAATTGCCAATAGCTCCTAAGAGACAGGATGAGACTTCATCACCACCTCCTCCCTCCATACTGGTATTTTATCTGGCTTGATCTTGCACAGGTCTTGTGCATACTGACTTAACCACTGTGTGTTCATATTTGCAACTGCTCTGTTGTGTCAGGAAAACACTGTTTTGTTGTAGATATCCATTCCCTCTGACTCTTATAATCTTTCTGCCCTCTATTCTGCAATGATCCTTGAGACTTGTGGGGAGGGGGCATAATATAGATGTCCCATTTGGGGCTGAGCACTCTGCACTCTCTTATTCTCTGCATCTTGACCAGTTGTGGGTCTCTGTGTTAATCACCATCTACGGCAAAAAGAAACTTCTCTGATAAGAGCTGGGAGATGCATTAATCTATGGTATAATGGTAAATGATTAGAAGTTGGTTTAATACTATGTCCACTTAGCAGAATAATAGAGCTGAATACTGAACATTCTTCCCCATAGCCTCTGAATCGTCTATCCAAATGCCCTGTTAATGGTGCATGACATGAGTTCCATCTTATGGAGATGGCATCAAATATTAGAAATAGTTGGTTACTCCCATAACATTCCTGCCACTATTTCACTAGTGAGCATACCTTGCCAGGCCAGTCACAGTCATTGTTGTGGCTCACGGGATTCACATTTGTAAATACTTTTCTCCTCCAGTAGCTTGCATGATACCTCAAAGCACTATAAAAACTGTTAAGGAAGGATGAAGCTTTCAGGTCAGTACCAGCTTGATTTTTCTGTGTTCTATGATTTAAGTGTATGGTTTTACTATAGATTATTTTTTAAAATATATTTCATTTATTATTTTATTTTATATGTATTTTTATTTTATATGTATCTTGTCTACATTTGTGTAAGTGCACTCGTGTCATGCAATGCCCTTGGAGGTCAGAAGAGAATGTGAGCCTCCATATGGGTGCTGGGAATTGAACCTAGTTCCCCTGCAAGAGCAGCCAGTGCTCTTAACCACTGAGCCATTTCTCTAGCCCCCTACTTTAGGTTCTTAAGACAAAATTCTAATCATACCCTTAGGGATGAGTTTGACCAAAGCACACTACTGCTTGAGTGCTAATACATTGGACTTTTGCTGATCTATTAAAAGCTATATAACAAGTCAAGCATTTTAACCTTAATTTAAAAAATGTTTCATATGCTCTTAGGAAACTGAAGTAATGTGCAGAAAGAGTACATAGTTCCATTACCAGCAACCCCAAGTGCTGGGAAGACACATGGTGGTGATAGTGTTCTCTTTTCCCAGGTTTTGGCTGCTCTTTAATAACTCAGCAAAGAACCCGCAAGTCTTCAGGGAACTAGAGGTAAGAATAGGCAAGGGGAGTAACATTAAGACAGACTTAGAGTAAGACCTGCAACAGTGTGGAAATATATGTACAAGTCTAATACAGAGACTTAAAACTTGTGTAATCCTATACTTACCTGGCAGGGAAGATACCATGATCCTGAAGGTGGTTTTCTCGGGGTGAGGCTTATCCATTGCACTCCATATGTGCTGAGCCCTGCAATTTCCTCAAATGTGGCAAACTCGACTGCATAACTTGCAGTGGTGGGGGGAACTGTATTCGTGTTCTCCCCTATTAAAAAAGGAAAAAAAACTTTTATGACCCAAACAATGTGGGACCTTTAGACATTATTTTTAATCAGAGGGACAGTGCCTGCTCTGGTTTGATCCACATGCCTCTGATGAAAACAGATGCTGCACATTGACCTCTGGACAGACTATTTTTCCACATTCAGGCAATTCTATTGCACAGCAATACAGTTAGTCCTTATGCTTCATAAAGTGCATTCTACATCTTTATTTTTCCCAAGAACAATTACTCTTCAGCCTGCTCATCTTAGATGTATAATACAATTGGAGTTCTCAAATAGAATATCCACCAGATGCTATAAAACTCCCAGTTATGCTAGAAAACTAGAAACTGTCCATTAGGAGGAATAGAGAGAAAGATCTTAATGGAGAAGAGATAATGGGACACAGCTGATATGAAGGTGGAAAAAAGAATAATAGGAATAGATGTTTAAGTGGGAAGGGTATAGGAGGGTGTGAAAGAGAAGGGTTGGGGGGATAACTAACACAGAGAATGTTTGAAAAATGGAAACCTACTCTAATATAAACTTATACACATTCAGAATAAATAATGCCAAACAAAAACTCCAGTGCCAAGTTGGATAGGTGTCTCAATGGCTGAGAACATCAGATACTCTTGCAGAAGACCCAGGTTCAGTTCCCAGCATCCACATGGTGGCTCACAACCATCTGTAGCTCCAGTTGTAGGGGCTCTGTAGCCCAAAAATTACTCATTCCTCCAAAAAGAGTGAGCCTATGGAGACTAAGCCAGTCAGGTGAAGATGAGGCTCACCCTAAGAAGAGGGGTGGAGCTGCCCACAAAATGGAGAGTGAGCAGATGGAGACTTTAGTCAGGGACCATATTGGAACTCAGGGAGCAAAGTGTGCATGCAGTTGGGAACGAGGACCCAGAGGCGAGTGGCCCAGTGCTAAAAGATGGCAGAGACTATGGGTGAGTGGGGGTAAGCCAGCCTGCACATCCCCCCACCATGAACTCTGCAGGGTGAGTCAGTATGCGTGGATGCAAGATAAGGCACTGGATGGACACTATGGGAAGGACTGAATGACTGTGGGTTATGAGAATCTGTTTCTTTGTAAGTCACCCCCTCCCGAATGTCATATAAACTATTCAAAATTCAAATAGGACAGCATATGTCAGTTTGTTAACAATGGGGCCTCAGAGGGTGTGGGCATGAGTCTCCCAAGAAGGGAGGGAAAAGGAAAAATTTGGCAAAACAGGCTCAACCGCCCTCTTCTGGCCTCTGAGAGTACTACATGCATATGGTACACTTGCATACATACAAGCAAAACATTCATACACATATATAATAGAAGAGTTTATTTTGGCTTATGCTTCCTGAAGGAGAGCCCATAATGATGGAGGAGGCATGGCATCAGGCAGCTGAAGCAACAAGCTGATAGGTCATATCTCAACCACACTCAGGAATCAGATAAAGAGTGAACTGGAAGTAGAATAAGGCTACAAACTCTCAAAGCCCATTCCCAGTGATGTACTTTCCTCAAGCAAGCTTCCACATCCTTAAAGTTTCATAATAGTCCCAAACAGTACTGAAATGGCAGAACAGACTCCATTTTATTCTAGCTGATTTTTCCTTTACCCCACCTCTGACTGCAGACAGCCAGTCTAACATAAAGATTGTACCTGTAGTTTCAGGGAATACTTTGTATCTACAATTCTGGGACATTTCCAAGTAGTCTGGTAGTGCATCTTCTTACCCAGCTACACCTGCATCACCATGGAGATCATTGTCTCTGCAATTCTGAGAAACTTGTTTTTCCTAACGAAAATGTTTTGTTAACTGAAAACTTCTATGTTAACTGAATTGCTCCTGGTTTGATGTAGCTATGGTGACCCAATGTATCTTTGGCTATTGTCTTTTCCCCTGGCATTATGTAATTATAGTTTTAAGCTTTATAAACCCCACTCTGCCCCCTCAGGGTCAATAGTTATTTTGGGCATTAACCCCCTCTCTGCCAGCTATTTTGGGGGCATTAGGCCCCTTCTGACTGCCAGCTATTTGGGGGGCATTAGCCCCCTCTCTGACTACCAGCTAATAAAGGACTCCTAATTTGACCATTTACTATGTGGCGTTCTTCTGTGCCTCTCACTTGCTATTACATTTTTACCAACTGGGGACCAAGTGTTTAAATACATGAGCCTATAGAGGACATTTCCCATTCAAGTCACAACACCACAAATTAGCGTAGCTCTCAGCCTTCATCAGAGAAACATCTTTGTGCAGCGGTTAATGGTTTGTGCAATGTGTAATACAGAAACTTAGAATCAGTCAAAGTGAAGAGAACAAGTGTCTATGAAGTGCTCAGCCATAAATGAGAACTATATCAAACCCCTTATCCCTGAAGCTCATGGGAGAGGAGGTGAAAGATGTCAGAACCGGAGATGATGGAGGACTGGGGCAAAAACACCTTAAATCCCAGCACTTGGGATGCAGAAGCAGGTGGATCTTTGTGAGTTCAAGGCCAGCCTGGTCTACATGAGTTCCAGGACAGCTGGGGCTACAGGGAAACCCTGTCTCAAAAAGAACAAAAAAGTATCTTTTGTACATGACAAGACCATTGTACTCACAAACTCATAGCAGTTCTGATTGACTGCACAGACCCACACAAGATCAAGCCAATCAACATTCCAGCATGGATAGGGGAGAAGTACACAATTCCCCACTGCTGGCTGAGGAGTTATTGGCAGTTCATAACTCCTGGTGGAGGGTAAGTGAGTTTTATTTAGGGATGTAGTCCTTGATAGGGTGACCATCTTCCATTGGATAGTCCCATAACCATGTGTACATGGATAACACTAGTTGATTCTGTGCAGTATCTATTTTTTTAAAATAGAAGACTTATTTGAGAGGAGACCATGGAGAGATATCCAAGAAGAGTTGGAGGGGTAATTGGCAGGTCAATATGATTGAAATATATTGTATGCATGCATTAAAGCCTCAAAGAATAAATTAAAATGTTATGTTAAACAAAGAGAAAATGTACTTTTTAAAAACTCTTCGCTATTAAAGTGTTGGGGTATTGGTTGAAAAGTGAAGGACAATCCAGCATAAGGATAATTGTCCCCAAGGTATCACTCCTTAGTCAGAAAACTAAAAATGAGCTACTCATTAGTTTATTCATTTGCATATTTGAGCTATAAGAGATGATTCCCAGAATTCCCTTACCTCACTAACATGGTTCTGGGGAGTGGTGATGAAGTGAAAATATTCTGATCCTTGGGATTTTTCACCTTTTAAAATTAGTTGTTCTTGGGGAAGGGCTGCCCAGTCCACTTTGTGAAGTTTTGAGAGATAAATTCTATTCTTCTTTCACTTTTAGAGCAGAACCACTCTCCTCAGTGTGACTCCTCCACTGCTCTTTCATGCTTTGCAGATGAAATTAAATGTTATAACATGTCTTAGTAATCCTTTTACTGTATGTATTCAGTCCACATATCCAGCTGATTTCATGTAATGCCTGATAGAGGTCTAAGCCTTATCAGCTATAAAGAATGCTGGTTCTTCCCTGTCCCACCAACCTGCCCCTCTCTCTGCTCTCTATCTCTCTCACACATATTCTATATCTACAAGCAATTTCTCTCAGTTATGACTGTCAAATAGAACATGACTGTAGCAGTATGTAATCTGTACTCTGGGGACATTGTGATTTTCACAGTATCCTCCTAACTATCTTTATTGTCTCCCCTTCCTGCCCTCCAATAAGGTGTTCTCCACCCAGTACCAACAAAAATATATTTAAAACATACACCAGGTTACAGTCCTGCTCAAAATTCAACACTAGGTGTTTTCCTAGCCTGGAACATGATGTCATGTCCCTCAGGGCTATCTCCACAATCAAGATAACATAAAATTTAAAAACCCACCCACTTTCTAAAATGTAGACCAATTCTCACTCACAGGGATCATATACACATATAAAATTACATGGTATACACTTTTTTTTGTTTCTCTTCTTTCACTCAGCTTACTGGCTTTCGTGATCAGGTCATGCTATAGTCTCTAGCAGCAATACCCTCCTTTTTATCAGAGAGCAATAATAAATATACAGCATATAGATTCACTACCTGTTGCCTGTCCAGTTACCTGGTCATGGACTTTTGAATTATTTCTAGTTTGGGGCTATCAGAAAACAAAGTGCTGTGAATACTCTTGTGTAGGTTTTTGTGGGGGCACATATTTTTATTTATGATAGTATCTAAGAGTGGGGTGTCTGCTTTGTATAAGAAAAATATGCTAATTTCTTAAGAAAATATCATGGTGTTTTCCAAAATGATTGCATGAGAGTTATCATGTTTATCTATACCAACAATTTTAGAATAATAAGCCAGTTTTCAGGTAGTGCCATCCCACTCCCCTCATCACTAATGACATAGACCATATTCTCTAAATATATTTCCCATTTTTTTTCTTTGTAGAGCATGTCCTCATATTTTGAATCTGTTCTATGCATAGTTCAGGTCTTAAGCAGTATTAGTAGTCCAAATGCAGTTTGCTTTCAAATCATCGCTGTGTTGGTGTGTATCTTTTCTGAGCAATCAGGACTCAGGAATTGGATGACAATTTATGTGCATTAGCAGACAGAATTGAAAACCACTTTCTTTAGAGGTCTATCCTCTACCATTTACTCACGTTCTAGGCCTCTAGGTATCTCTGTACAGTGACTTTTCTTCACAGAAATAGAAAGACAGGTTGAAAGAAGGGCAGAGAGAAAGTTTATGAAGAATGGCTAACAGGATATGGACACTGAGAACTACCAAGATTGAGATCTGTAGACAGCAAGCTGGAAACCTAGGATCCAGGGTGAGGATGCCAGTCTTCGGGATTCTGAAGGCAGAAGACTAATGGTTTCAGCAAAGAACATGATGCAGAGAGCAGCAACTCTCCTTCTGCCTTTTGTTCTATTCAAGTCTTTGGTGGATGAGGTCCACCTTTATGAGGGAGGCCAATCTGCACTTCTCGGTATAGA